GTTTTCGGCCCTTCCTTTGGCTTGGACAGGCCTGCTCTTATTACTGCAGTTGGGGGGGGGGACCACATGGGTCTACATCCCTGCTTTAGGGAAGAAAGGAAAGCTTAATTTCCAGGCTCCTTTCCTGTGTTCCATTTCTGGGTCTTAAAGGCTGAGAAGGGCTTAAAGAGAGTGTGCAGGGCCCCAGGGCACATGTGCTGGCAGCGGCTTTGTGTTCTGGCAGAGGCAGGCAGAGGGCAGGTGGAGGCAGGGCCCGAAGGACGTGAAGGACGTGAAGGATGTGAACACGATGTCTGCTGCTATGGAGGATCCCAGCCTGATTTCCAAAGGGAATTCATGATGTTCATGTGTGTGCAAGATGAGCAAGCACACGTGTGTGCACATGGCTGTAGAAGCTAGAATCAATCTCTATGGTCCATCTTTAGACTCTGTTAAGCTTGTGTTTTTGAGACAAGGTCTCTCTATAGGACCTAGGGTTAAGCGGTTGGGTGAGGCTAGCTGGCCGGTAAGCCCCAGGGATCTGTCTCCCCAGCGCTTGGATTACAAGCACCACTCCCAGCTCTTATGTGGTTGCAGGGATGGAGCTCAGGTCTTCATGTTTATGTGGTAAGCACTTGACTAAGTAAGCCATCTCCCCTGCCCTTCAAAGGAAACTCTTTAGGATGGAGAATCCATTGTGTGGGGGAGGAACGGAGGCATGGAGAAAGGAACAGCAGTGTTGGGAATGCATGGCAGTGCCCAGGACACACCAAATCTTCCCCAAGCCAAAGGCTGCCCAAGCTATCACTAAACTGAGCAGGAAGACCTGTGTTCTACTGCAGCCCACCATTGCCCCCCAACACAATCGAGCCCCCATTGATCCCAAATCCCACATATCAAGATGGATCGGCTAGCCTTACAGATGCCCTGTGGGGTGATGAGTTGGAGAGACGTGAGCTTCCCAGGGGAGACCTTGGTGTCCACGTCCCCCAACATTATGATGTCTTTAAGGGTCATCTTTAGCTGAATTTCTTTCCAAACTAACTCAGATCTGTAGACAACCAAACCAATGTCTGATACCAGCGGATGTCAACACCATGACCGTTCTCTGCTCTTGGTTCATTATTTCCAACACTGACATTTTTTTTGGTTGCTCCATTGCTTCAAATTCACTGCGTGTGTGTGTGTGTGTGTGTGTGTGTGTGTGTGTGTGTGTGCACATACATGTGCCATGGTGCATATATAGAGACTAGAAGAGAACTTGCAATAGTTGGTTCTCTCATTCCACCATGTGGGTCCCACCTGAGCAAACTCAGATTCTCAGGCTTGGCTATAGACACCTTTGCCCGCTGAACCATCTCTCTGGGCCACAATGGGATTTTTGTTGTTTTCTTGATACAAGACTATCAAAACCTGCCTATCTGGGGAAAATGACTCCACCAGCTAGCTGGAAATTTTCACTTCTTGCATTGAACCTGATGTACATACAAGCAAGTGCGTGTAACATAAACCAACAGCTTGGTGAATTTTCATAAACTGAACACAGTACCCATGTCAAGGAACTGAATACACCCAGCTACCCCTGATGTCGCTTCCCAGGCACCTCTTCCTCACCACTCCCAAGACACCCCCTCTTCTGACTTTCAGCCACAGATCTGCTTTACTGGGCTGGAGTTTGTCCTCTGCTCACATGACAGCCTAACTTGCAAGTCAGCCACTCAGCAGTTGAGCAGGTCAAGTACCCAGCTCTACAGGGCTGATAGGCACTGGCTTAGAGTCGGGGTGGGTAGGGGAGGGCAGGCTCTATCCTTTCCTCTCTCATGACTGAGTCTTGGAATTCTAAAGCCAGCCCAGGAACAGATGGGCAGGACTTGGCCTATCTTGGCTGGAAGATGGTCCCGTGTCTGGAGATCCACCGTGAAAGTCAACCATGAGGCTCAGTGCCAGGGACAGGAGGAGCGTTCTTTTCCCACATAGAAGTTCCACCATGTGCAGCAGTCAGCCCGAAGCCTGGAGCAAGGTGATTCGGTGTGGCTGTGTGTTGGGTTCTAGATCCTAGGAAGCCAAGCACATGGTTGGGCTTGTCCTGTTCCATTCAGCCCTTACTGCTGAGAAACCACCTCCTTCTGGCACTGATGCTGGGTCTGCTCTCCACCTGTGTGCTTCTGGGCACCGGTGCCAGCTACCCACTGCCGGCCTGGACCTGTTGCCTCCTGAGCTATCCTCCTCCTGCCCTCCTGCACTCATCACCTCTGAGAGATGACTATGCACACTAATGGGAACCGCGTTTGGGCTGGGTTTGTAGCCCAGTTGGTAAAGTACATGTGCAAAGCCCCACATTTAATCCCCAGTGCCCTGGAAGTTGGGCATGGTAGCACAGGTCTGCAATCCCACCTCTCAGGGGATAGAGGCAGGAGGATCAGAATTCAAAGTCATCCTTGGCTACATAATGAGTTTGGGGGGCCAGCCTGGGCTAACAAGAGACCTAATCTCAAGACAACAAAAAACAAAAGGGAAGGCTAGGTTTGCCAATGTTCTTGCCATGTATCATCAGATTTTGCCCTTCGTCCTCATCATAGAGCCATTCTAACTGCACCGTGTGGGAGGCAGAGGGCTATCCTGGGCTAGTGATCAGGAAGGACAGCCTGGGCCAGGCTACTTCCTGGAACAATGCTGTTGGCCGCTACAAGTGATATGACTGCTCCCACCTCATTCTGTCTGAAGGCTGAGGGGCTGTGACAGAGATGCAGGGAGCCATGTAGAGACTTGATTTGTGTTTCCACTATGTGTGAGATGCCAGCAGAATCGGTGGAACAAGTTAGCACTGACTCTTGGACTAGAAGGATCTTGGGAAGCGTCTACGTAGAGTCCTTTAGTGGCATGCATGAGGCCTGGAGTATGGCTCAGTGGGCAGTGCTCATCTAGATTCTAGAGGCCTTGAGTTAACATCTCAGCACATCATAAACCTCAGCATACCATAAACAAATAAACAAACAAACAAATCTACCTATCTATCTATCCTTGGGGAATGTTTTTAAAAATTTGGGTTTCTCAGGTCCCTTCTTTCCAGAGACCCAGAAACTTGCATTTTCAGAATGAACTCTAGAAGATTCTCATGTGGTTGATGCCAAGATGTAGTCCGAGGAACACTGGTCTAGATAATTCCACCCCCAGGGTTGTAGATGGGGCAAGGGAAGCCCAGAGGGCCCAAATGACTTACTGAGAATCACAGAATCCAAGTGCCTGTCCTCCATTGTGCTACACACACACACACACACACACACACACACACACACACACACACACA